TTTTGGGGGGGGCTTCAGCCCGAAAGATTTTTTTTTCATATACATATAACGATAATTAATTTGAAAAAAAGAAAGAAATTAACTACCTATATGAAATGGTGTTCAAGTGATTCCCGAAGTTCTATTAAATGTAATTACAGGAACAAGAATACTTTAACAGATAGTTTTTAATATTTTTTTCTGTAAAACATGGTTATATTTTACCATTTTAGGGGGAGGGGAGAGGCTTTAGCACGAAAACTTCCCCCCGCAGATCTACCTGTGGAACCAAGCGATCACAGCTGTTGCCTATGACAGCAACAAAGCAGCTAGAAGACTCATGGCGGAAGTTAAATAGTCAAAAGGCGTAAGTAAAAAAAAATAAATTTTCATGTACAGAAAAATGTAATATATATCTTTTTTAGTTAATTTATCAATTCGGCTTATGATTTGTTTATATTTTGTGAGTCAGTTACGAAATTTATAGCTTTATTTGAATTTACTGTCGGAGCGATAACTTATATTTATATTATATTTTCTATTTAGCTTTATATTTTTCTTTGTGTATAATGTCAATATAATCAAAATAAAAAATGTGTTCTAAAATGCTGTTTTATTTCCATACTTTGCAACTTTACTTTGAGTGTTGTTATGTTTAGTGTTACCCAAATGCGAGACCGAGACGAATCTTGGACTTGCAAACTCATTCTTGGTCTGGGTCTTGGTCTTGCGCAATACTCTCGTAACAGTCTTGCAGTTACCTATTAGCTTATTACTGTAATTTTTTGATATGAGAAACCTAACTAATGAGAAACCTAAGTCTGAATGGAAAATTAGAAGAGTTAAATGCAAAATTATATTGGTTACACCAATTCTTTAAATATTGTAACTAAAACTGTCAAGTATTAGTAACTATTTTGCCTCAATTTTTATTTAAAAAAACGATTTTGGGCAACACTAGTGTTATTCGATAAATTCGGGTTAAAAATTAAAGAATTAAATACTTTTTCCGTTAATTCAATTCCATATATAGTATGTCCCGTAAATAATGGAAAATATGTAAAGAAGTTACATTAAACCTCAAGTATACACGAGGAATGCTTCTGATGTCATGCAGAGATGGTCTGACTTAATCACTTTAATCATTTTTAAAACATGGTCATGAGACCAACCCAATATTTTCACTATAAAAAGGATATAACGGAACGTAGAGTCACGCTGAGAATAAAAAAAATACAGAATACACAGCATTAGAATAATAGTATGTTTCTTGAATGCAAGGAGTGCTGTTACAGTTAGCTTAAACGTTTTCTTGATGGAAGCTAGTCGACTATTCTACATATCATCGGTGATAAATATTCAGGACGCAATCCTTTTTTAAAAATTTGTATTTAATTTTTGCCAACGTTTCAACCCAAACATGTGGGTCATCTCCAGGGCGTGGTTTGAGCATTGAGGGTGTTCAAGTACTACTTATAAGCACTTAGCTTATTCGCCAGCTTCTCCTACAGTTCATTCTGCTCTCTCTCTCCAGATACTTCAAACACCAAAACAGAGTTAAACTGCTTCCCATTTCTCAAAATTACATACCCCTCCCAAAAATCTGTTATAAGCCGTTTTCCCCATTTACACAAAGAATTAGCACATAAACGTGGGTGATAAATATTCAGGACGCAGTAATTTAAAAAAAAAAAATTATTTTTTATTTTTGCTAAAGTTTCAACCCGAACATGTGGGTCATCTTCAGTGCTCAAACCACATGTCACATGTTTGGATTGAAACGTTGGCAAAAATAAAAAATTAAAATTTTTTTTAAAAATAAAGACTGCGTCCTGAATATTGATCACCCTTAAACGTTTTCAGCTTGTTGAATCAATTTGGTCTATCGATTTAAAGAAACCATTTTTCACGAACAAAGATTGTTCATCCAAGAAACTCATTGAGAAATTTAACAGTGTAAAAGGGTCTTCTAATAATGGGATCGGACGAAAACTCCACTATACATGGTAATAATAATAAGTAACCTAACAGAACATGTACCGTTTTTTATATTAAATAGTTGTAAAAGAAATGAGAGATTTCGAAAAGTGTTTTTCCAATTTTCAACTAACCTTCTTGGGAATGTGAAAACGTCGAGGAATTAAGAGATTAAGATTTGCTTATCGACAATTCTGATCGTGTTGAGGAAAAACACAATAAAAACTTTTAATAATTCAGCAAAAAATGCATTCAAAAGCTGAAATAAATTGATACTTCCCGATTTTTAAGGGACGCATTGCCAAATCAAAAAAATCACCGTCGAGATTAGAATAAAAATATTAAAACTTTGTAAATTCATAAAATATAAAATTAATATATGTTGTAAAAATACTAACTAAGAGAAGATCTATGGTGTAGTTCTTAATGGCCGAACTACGGAGGGGGGGGGGGGGGGTGATTCTAGACAAAATTTCCCACAAAATGGTACATTTTATGCATGGGCCGATTCCAAACAGAAAAGGAGCCAAGGACAATTTTGTGTTTTTCTTAAGGCGTTCAAGTTTTTATTAAATGAGAAGTAATTGCTGAAAAATTGTTCAATATAATTAAATCCTAAGTACACCGTCGTAAAGTAGAAAAAAATGAGAAGGAGTTGGCGGGGAGGTGCCGTCAAACTAATACTATATATATATTTATTTTATTTTTTTGTTTATTTTATGAAATTTACAACTGTGTACAAATAATACCCGTTTACGTATACATAATAAATTATACGTAAATACCGGTGGTAGCACTCACGAGGCCATCTCCTTTTCAGACGCCTAGGAGGATTATCAGGAATCGAAGGAGAAGCAAGGGTGGAAACAAGTGGATTCGGATGGGAATGGAATTTATCATGAAAGGATAGGTATCTGGCTTGGGCTAAATCAGTGACATATGGTACATTAAGGTCTTTATTAATGGTTTTATTTTGTGACAAAGTATGGAGCATTAAGGATTTTACGAAGGATTTTCGACTGTAAGGATTGAATACGATAGGAATTCGATGGTTTGGTGAAGCCCCAAAGCTCAACTCCGTACGTCCATATACGCCTTATTATAGTTATGTAGATAAGTCTTTTGTAATTAATTGAAAGTTTAGAGCGTTTATTTAGTAAGTGTTGGAGGAGGCGGAAATGTCGAGCAGTTTCTTGTCGTTTCAGTCTAGAATGAGGATTCCAAGTAAGACGTTTATCCAAGTTGAGTCCTAAGTAGCGGATTTGCTCAACAGGAATAAGTGGAGTATTATTGAAGGATACTGTAGTTCAAGAAGTCATAGGTTTACGATGGAGGGTAAAGGTGATTTGATGGGATTTATTGGAATTTATTTTTATTCTCCAATCTTTACACCATCCTTCAAGGCTTATGAAATGTGATTGAAGAGTTTGGGGTGCAATTAAAGGGTCATTATTAACAGATAACAAACATGTGTCATCGGTGTAAGTAATACTATATATTAAAATATAATTTTATTGTTTACGCCGACGTTTTGAACCACTTCGTAGATCTTCATCAGGGCCACAAAATGTACAAAATATGAAAATTACATGATAAAAAAAATGAATTATTAGTAGATATTAAATAATAAACAGTTGTCTGATAAAGAAATAATAATATGACATCAGAGGTATAGTGGGTGACAGTGTAGTTAAAATATCAAGTATTACATATATAGAAGATACAAACAAAAATCGAAAATAAGTCTAAGGTCTCTTCTATCTTCACCTGACCGCCATTTTTTATTCGAGCGGCTATATACTGGCAGAAGTGCATTTTTCTCATCTGGCCTGTGGATATGATCTATTTATAAAGACAAAGCTTAGTATGAGTGAACAAAGAGTAGGTGTGGTCCAATGGTGTCTACATTAATAAGTAAAAATACTCACTTATTCTAATTGCTTTTCCTTGTAAAGAAGAGAATGTAATGCACCAAAGAGGCAGATGGATAGAGATAATGAAAGAAGATAGTGCACACCTGAGAACATTGCAGTTAGTGTTGCCCAAAATCGGTCTTGGTCTTGCACTTTGCAAGATCAAGACCAACACCGTCTATCTGTTGCAAGACCAAGACCAAGACTGGTAAAAAAATTCGATTTTTCGAATAAAAATTGAGGCAAAATAGTTACTAATACTTGTCAATTTTAGTTATTGTATGTAAAGAATTGGCATAACCACTATACTTTTGCATTTAACTCTTAAAATTTTCCTTTCAGAGTTAGTTAGGTTTTTTCTACCTAAATAAATACAGTAATATTTCTTTCAAATTGGTTAATAGGTAACTGCAAGACTGTTGCTAGAATCTCGCGCAAGACCAAGACTGAGTTTGCAAGACCAAGACTCGTCTCTGTCTCGCATATGGGCAACACTAATTGCCTAGTTGCTTTACTAGTACCTGTATTGATCATCATATGGGTTAGAGAATGAAATAACAATAATAGTTAATTTTCAGGCATTTTAATGACATTAGTCAGAACCTTTGAGGTAACTCTCAGTTAACCTCAGGAAAAGTAAACCGCAAAATATCTGTAACTATAAGCTCCTTTCCCCCCAAAAAGATACAGAGTTAACGCTTCTTATCCACTTTTGGTTTAAACCTTCTTTTCATTCTTTAGAATGGATAACCTAGTTCTCAGCCTGAAATTCAAAAAAAGTGAAATTGCCAGTACTTCCCGCTGACTTATCCAACTTTTCATGGCGGTTTTTGAAGAAGGTACATTTTGACGGGGTTTTGAATTTTTGAGGGGGGCACATTTCGAAGGAGTTATGAATTTTCGAAATGAAATGTTTCAAACTATGGGAAAAGGGGAAAACATAGAACATACCACAGAATGTGAGATTGTATAAATGTGAGAGCAATAAAATATCTTTAAAAGAGGTGAAGAGGTTCGTGTGCCATCGAATTCGGGGGGATGGGCATCCCTGAGAATGACTCATCAAAATAAGCACAATAATTAAAAAATAAAACATACATTACAGTGGGGTTATATAAAATAGTAGCAACGTAATTGAATCACATTATTTATTTTAAAATAATCATTCAAAGTTATCTTGATGTTTTGTTGAACTGGCTTAGAAATTCCGGTGTAGAATAATTAGAGGCTTCTTCTCTTTTTCTATACATAGCGTTGGCTTTTGTGTTTAAACTTAGTAATTCATTTTTCTGCATCAGTAGACGGTATTTCTCCCTGAAAAAAAAAATGAGCTTATGTTAAAATATAGATAGAAGGCTTAGCGTCTAAGCTATCGAAAGTCTAGAATCTAATTCCATCCAGGAACTGAGGATTAAAGTTGGCCAAATATGAATAATATGTATATCAGCTGTTAAAAAATGTCTTTGTTCCGATTCATCTTAATCCAAATCTATTTCATGATACCCAAAACACGAAGTGTATTCAAAAAAAATAATAGTCATAACTACCAAAATGGCATTTAATAGATGTGATTGATACAAAGTGTGTTATGTGGTCAGAAATTCATTCGCCTTTTAATAATCACATTCAAGTGGCCACCGTGTTTACACATTTTAGTTTTTACTAACCATTTTTATATATTTTTTGTATTTTCGTGATGTGAATTATTTTTTTGATTTTTTTTTTTTTGTATCATCACCGTTGCCTTATGATGACTAACATGACAACTATTCAAGTTCATGAATTAAAATAAAAAATAATAAAATATCTTCAAATCACCTTTTTCCTTCTTCGCAAGCCAACGACATTCTCTCATCCAGCGTCATGTAATTCATCATAGAAGAAATCCCCAGCTCTAAATTGCATTGAGCAATGCTATTAACATGGAATCATACAGCTGAATCGCCAAGATATTAATTGATGCCCGAGTACTTTGACATTTATTTTAAAAACGCTCTAACTATCACTTCATTATTTAAAGATCACCTATAAGACTTTAATTGGGCTAATTATCGGAATATGGAATAAAGCTTCAGGCGAGAAATAATCGGATGTTCTCCACATCCAAACATTACATAGTGAAACCTTAAGTAATAGATGAAATTTTCTTAATGTCACAAATAAAATAATCCAAATACCTTAATACTCTATTTATTAAAGATCTGGTACGAAAAACACATGTAACAGAAATAAAATGTCAAGGAAAGCAGGATATTGGAGTAAAAAGTAAGTCAAATTTTCTTACCGTTCTTCATTTTTGTAAAGCTCTTCATTAGCAAGCTGGATATCGTCCATTTGCTTATAAAAATTGTCCCACTTTTGATTATAACTATTTTCAGTATTCGCGATGACCTGTGAAAAAAAATTCAGTGATTTTATTACCATTTTTCTAAATATATTCATAAACATACACATAACTCAGCTGAAACAATGTGGTCAGTATTACACCATACTTAATAAATATCCAAAATATCAATGCCCACACAACATAAGCGCACTCCCACATAGAACTTAAGATTTACACACGTATGTACGTGAAGTGAATGAGTGTTTTGATGCTAGTATTTATTTATGTATGTAAATGAAGTGAACGTGACGAGAATTTCATCACTTCGTTGCATAAGTCATGGTCATGTTGCATTTTTGCAAACATGTTGCAATTCCATCTTCCAAATGAATATTTGGACTCAATTGCATTTTTTTTGTGGAGGAGGAACATACTTGTACAAAGAAATGGAAGAGAATGTGGATTGTCTACCCTGGAAGGATAGTCACATCGCAGAACCACAGCTATTTTTTTTTTTGCTTATTTGGGCTTTAATGCGTCAAACCCCAGGGTCATTTAATTTTACAACAAATTTGGAATCATCAAACAATTCGTGTTCTTAATTAATTTATAAGTTATTGGAGCCGTAGTAGTCGAGCGAGTTCAGACGCCTGCAAAAATCTTAAGTTACGAGTTTAAATCCCGTTTGCGGAATTTAAAAGCAAAAAAAAAAAAATAGAAATAATAAAAAAATAAATAAGTGCAGTCCCTAATTGATTGCTTTAACCACTATCGCGCGGGTTCAATTCCTGCATATGGACGGTAACGTCCCATTCTTAGATTCATAGGAAGGTGAGCGACTCCTGTGTCTTTCTACAACATAGCTCCTGATAGTGTTGCCCAAAATCAGTCTTGGTCTTGCACATTTGGTCTTGCGCAAGTGTCTCGCAACAGTCTTGCAGTTACTTATTAGCCTATTAGTATAGAGATATTAATATAATTTTTAGATAAGAGAAACCTAACTAGGCCCGAATGAAAAATTAGAGGAGTTAAATGCAAAAGTATATTAGTTATACCAATTATTAACATATAGTAAATAAGATTGCCAAGTATTAGTAACTATTTTACCATAATTATTATTTAAAAAATCGATTTTTTCTAACTAGTCCTGGTCTTGGTCTTGCAACAATTAGGTGGCCTTGGTCTTGGTCTTGCAAAGTGCAAGACCAAGACCGATTTTGGGCAACACTAATAGAGGCTCAGTGTGTCTTGGGAGGGTCTCCTATTCCCAGTGCCACTCCTAATACACGACTGAAGTAACAGAATAAAAAATTATTTGCCACAGTCGAATTTAAACAAGGACCTGAAGCATAGGTGTACAGTACCTTATTCACTGAGCTAACCCTTTCCTCTAAATCTATTTATAAAATAAGCTAAATATAATACATTTATTACAAAGTCTATGGAAGGATGTAATTTAATCATTTTATTGAGATTTATAGTGAATTTTTTGAATTATTTAAAATCTGAGCTGGATGCATTATTTTTATTTAAGAATGTTTGAATTTGGGATACCTGTCGCTCTTTTATTTGCTCCATTTGCGCTTTTCGTATTTCGAGTTTCTCTCTTTCTGACATTCCTTTGTAGTGATATTGTATGATTTTTTTGAAACCCAAGTTACTTTGGGCCACTTCAGGATTCTCTGTAAGTAGATCACTATACATTGAATTTATAATCTCTCTCTCGTTATCCTCACGTTCCTTTCTGTCATTTAAAGATTTTTTGAAAATCTGCTCCTTTGCCTGAAATTAAAAAAAAAAAATCCTGTTATAATGTACAAAAATATAAAAAAGGAAATCCAAGAAATACTATACCAATGGTCCTTAGCTGGCCTATGTCGCGATAAATAAATTTAAAAACATAATATATTATGTATTACTTTAATATTATGTATTAAAAACATAATGTATAATGTATTTAAAAAAATAATAAATGGTTAAACTCGTGCACGCTACACATGCTAAGGTTACACACACATCAATGGTGAATAATAATTTTTAATGTTTATATTGTTACTGAACCCCTGGCATAGCCATAAATAATAATACGTGGTTTAATTTACTTAACTGGATATATTTATAGACTTGGCTCATTTTGTAACAAATAACATCATATGATGAATGAATCAGTTAATTAATTTAAACAATCTCAGTTAAATCAATAATATGATATAATGAATGATTTCTCTATTGATCAACATTTTACCAAAGTTTTGTTGTAATCTTTAACAACTAATTCCATTTGTCTTCTGCACTCTTTTTCTAAAGACTCCAAATTCAACGACCGGTTTTCCCGTGCTTTTAACGCGTCACTGTGTAGCTTTTCTGCAAAACATATTTCCTTTGACAATTGTTTTTTTTCTGATATTTGTTGCTGCAGCCAACATTTTTGTTGCTGTATTTGCAATAACTTTCTATCGCTTGCGCTATTGTCTTCACCATCAAAGCTGTAACAGAAATAAGTTATGTACATGCTGTTTTTATATATAAAAAACTTAAGACCTTGAATAAATTCTCGCTGTTTCCTAACAGATGGTAGCACCTTTACTGTGTGCGTTTCATTCGGATGGTGACGCGATTTTCTAAGAATTACTGTCGGGTATGTTTGTTAGACATAGTGTACACAACGCTTTTTTTTTTCGTTGTTCTAAAAATTTCTAGTATTTGCCAAATACAAATTATTTGCGCGACATTTTATTGCTCTATTTTATTCAAAAGAAATTTGCTGCTGAAGCCTACACAATTCTTGTTGATTCTTATAATGAGCATACTCTGTCGTTTCGGTGCTTCAAAAATAATTAGTTTATTCTTTTTTCTGAGATTTTGTATGTTATTCTTAGTATGTGGCAATGATGACTTCCAATTAAACAACAATTCAATTTATTTAAAAAAAAAGAAAAATGTAATTCATAAATTAAATTGTCAAAACTGCCCCAAAATCTACATTGGTGAAACATCCAAACAATTAGGGACCAGAATTTCACAACATATTACTAACTGTAAAAATACAAAAAACATAAACAGAACAGCTTTAGCACATCACAACATAAATTCAACTTCAATAAACTACAGATATTAGGCACAGAACCAAAAAACAACAATAGAAAATTACTTGAAGCCATACAGATCACAAAAAACAATAGAACAACCGTAAATTATAAAACAGACACCAAACATTTAGGAACACAGTATGCTGACATACTAAAGAAAATTAAAATTTAATAAAAATGAAATTGCAGCTACATAAAAAATATAAATTTAACAACAATAGTGTAAAAATAAACAGTCATATCCAAAGGTCAATTGTATTCACCATGACAGACACCCAATAATTGGTCTAAAAACCTGATGATGCTCTGGATATTATATGCTTTAACTTATTATAACATGAATTTAGAACCTGACAATGGAGCACATTAGATTTAAGGTAATTAAAAATTTAATGTAACAACCCAATTCTGATTTGTATTGTAACATGCACTACATTTTAACTCAATTTTTTTAGTCATGAATCAACAAAAAAACATTGGAATTGTAGTTCTGAAGATGGGAGTAAATATCCCGAAACGTTAACATGCAAACATGTAATTTGGAAATACAACACATAAATTCAATTGTTGTTTAATTGGAAGTCATCATTGCAAAATACAAAGAATAATTATTTTAATCTTAGAGATTAAGAATGTTCTGGCACGATAAAGGTAAGAAGTAGAAGAATTGGAGAAATCGGTTCACGAAGCCCATCTCAGACACTAGCTGAACTTGGAAAATCATAACTATAAAAGCATGAAAGCATATAGAATGATCCAGAAGCAAAGAATTCGATTTTCTTATGTGTGAACTGCTGTTTCACCGGCAGAAAATGAAAACTTGTATACATCGTATCGTGTCTGGCGATGAAAAATTGATGCAGTTCGATAATCATTAGCTTACTAAGTTGTGGCGTAAGCCCGACCTTTCTCTAACTTCTCCCATTTATTTTGTGGGATCAACGCGACGTCATTTATTATGAGCTGCTAAAACCGAACGAAACTATTACAGCAGATCGCTATCGACTACAATTGATTCGTTTGAGCCAAGCCCTAATGGAATACGGATGGTATACGACGAAGTGATTTCATTATATGACGAAGATCGGTCACATGTTGATAAACCGGTAAAAACCTTCCTGGAAACGCTTAAATGGAAATTCTTGCCCAATAATCCGCACAGTAGTTGAAAATTGAAAAAAAAAACTATTTTTTGAAGATATTTAAAAAATCATTTTCTATTCGTCAATCAAGACTAGATTAGTTGCCTAAAATATTTCACTACTTCAATCAGAATAATATTGATTTTTAACTTTCCAAATCCGACCATGGAATAATGTTTGAATTACAACGGAAATTGTTATTATCATTATTTTCACTCATATTTTGTACGGTTTACGTTTATAATCATGAACAGCTATTCCAAACGATACAATTCGTCAAAAAATAAATTACTTATTCGTATTTTGAAGCCCACGATATTATTTTTAAAAATTATTAAAATAAATAGAAAAAAAAATTTGCTTGTCCAGACCTTTTATCACAGCCGACCGCAGGTCTGTTTGTTTATGAAGACTAGAATCCTAAAAATATATTAAAACATATTCCAGCTGCGTCCACCTGCGTCTGTAATTTAATCTTGTAAATAGAATTAAACGTATTAGTTTATTTTTGAACGAGCGTCTATTTGAAATGAAAAAAATAAATATTGATCCTAAAATAAACAAGTATATAATTATAAGTATATTGTAACCGGACTGAACCGACAAGAAACCGCTCAACGTTTCCGATTACTTCAGCACTTACTAGACAAACGCTCTAAACTTCCAATTAATTACAAAAAACTCTTATTCATGACTATAATAAGGCCTAATTGGACTTACGGAGTTGAGCTATGGGGCTCCACTAAACCATCGAATTCCTCTCGTATCCAATCCTAACAATCCAAAATCCTTCGTAAAATACTCAACTCTCCCTACTTTATTACAAATAAAACCATCCATAATGACCTTAATGTTTCAGATCTGGCTCAATCCATATACCTATCGTTCCATAATAAACTTCAGAATCATCCCAACCCTCTCGTTTCTAGCTTGGCTTCCCCTTCAATTGCTGATAACCCTCCAAGGCATCTGAAAAGAAGATGGCTCGCGATCTCCTAACATAGACATATTATTAGAGTGCTACCATTGGGTAGTTTCTCAACAAGTGTTTTCACGTCATTATATCCATATGTTCAAATGTATTAAATGTATTTCTTTAATACAGTTGTAACTATCATTAAGAAAAAAAAAGAAAAGTATATTGTTATGTATTATATAAATTAATGAAGTTTTTTTGTTATATTTTAAATAAGTCATTGAATCTTAAAAATATCAATTAATTGTTAAAAAAAGAATTCATTAGGTTTTATTTATTCGTATTAGAATCCAAACAGAATCTTATATTTTTATATTATATATAAATGAGGATATCTTAGTATTTTATTTAATATTTGTCCCTCAGGTATAATTAGATGTTTAATGAAAATATATAAATAAAACTACAATTAAATTAAAAAAAAAAACGTTTCTTCAGATTCTATTTATTTCGGATAAAAATGAGGAACTCCGTCTCGTATTCTTATCATGTATTATATAAGTTAGTAAATATTTAATTAATTTGAAAAATAATTAGTTGCTAAAAAATAATTTTATGGAATGAGTTTCTGGTATTTGGTAGCACAGACTAAAAACATAAAATTAAATCTCTCAACCTTCCATCTCCTCGTGAAATCATGATATTGCTTTTATTTATTTTATAAAACTAATAAGCTATTTTTTCGATGAATAGAAACCTCATAAATTGATTTAATAATTTAACTGTAAAAAAAATTGTGACATTTTAACTACCATATTGTAACATTTCTTGAATATACCTTTTAATTGAAGTGTATAAACGATTGTTCGCTATTTAATAGTCTTCATTAGGCCCGTTTTTGTTTTGTTTTTTTTGCTGAACCGATCCTAAGTGTTTTCAGCAATTACAATGAAAGTGCTGTCTAGGCTATTGAATAACGTAAAATTCATAATTCTTCATCTTTCACACTGTAGCAAGATTTTCACTATTTGTTAACCTGTTAATTTTCCGTTTATTAGTTTGTTACCCCATTAATTCTCATAAAATAAGTTTACAGATCAAGATTGGTTGTAATAAAAACAACTATCTCATTTGTTTCAATAATTTAGTTAGATGAAGCTATCTTATTCTTAGAGAGAAAACAAATATTCATCTCTTTTATTCCCGGATAACCCGGAGAGGCGGTTAAACGGAATTCTACTGTATTAATTTTATAGCAAATTTAGTTGTGATTATGATGTTATCAACAAAAATTTTCTGTGGATTACAGATCAGAATTGCCAGGGTTTTTTCTCGAAAAAAAAACGATTTTCAACCACTGTGCGCCGTATTTACCAGATCCTTCCTGGTTTCACTTATTTAGATAACAAAAAAACTATGGCTAGATTCTTGGATAAGCTTAAAAGATGTGTCGTTTTTTCGATTCATATTTTTTGTTATATATCGATTCGTGGTCGGAACTCATGTACTGTCAGATAGATTTGAGAAAGTAATGAGTTAGTGATGGGCAATACTTTGAATGACTTATTTTTATCAACTTACTTTCAATATATGAGAAGGACTTGGTCGGGGGAGGGGGGCGTTTCGACCCACCTTGCAGGTCTTCATCAGTGCATGGCATCCGGCACTGCAGTAAGGAGTTGATAGACCGGCAGTTGAAGCTTAAAATTATAACTTAAAATAAAGCTTTATTAAAAAAAGAAAATAACAGAGAGAACTTATTCAAGGTCCTGATATATATATTTAAAAAATACTTTTATGTATAAAATTATCAAATCAATTTGAAATAAGAGAGTTACTGTTTACTAAGATACACACAATAATCCTGAAGATATTCCTGGTTCGGTTAGGCATTTATTCTCACTTCTTTCTTCTTCACGTTTTCTTTGATAATTTTTTCTGAAGTTGTTTATTTCTTGATTAATCTTTCTTCTAGTCTGCAATTTTAGAAACATTTAGCCGATTATAAGTAATAAGTCCGGAATAATTCATAATGAAGTATTGCAAGAAAAAATAAGTTGGTATTCGCTTGTCAAATTGAAAATTTTCAATTCAAATTCAAATGTAACCCTGCAAAATTCAAACACTACCTGGCCTTGGATGGAATTATTTCAGAAATATTTTATTTGAATTCAGGAATAATTATTTTAATTTAAATTGTTAAGTATAATTTTGCTGTATCGCTACTGTTAGTGAATAATGTCGTATATGATAAATTTTTGTATTTATTCTATTTGTGCTAAGGTGGCACTTTGTAGTCTGCGATTGTAATAAGTAATCTTCTACTATGGAAAATAGCAGAGGTAAATAAAATATGAAATTATACTAATAAATCATAACCTCATATTAAAGAACATCTACTAGCACATGATATAAAGTTCCACATCCAGTAAGTCGATTTTATCGACTATTTTGGAATAATACTTTTTTTTTTATTTATTATTTTAATGGAATTTACAACTGTATTACATAGAGAATACAATAAGTAAATGAGAAATGCAATAATACTTAATTTAAGTTTCTTATGTTTTTTCGTTTTTGAGAAATGCTGCTCAATTACATACATAGAAACAAACGCGAGTGCGTGAACGCAAACGAACACAGATCTTTTTGCGAAACATAATTCGTTGTACTAAAGGAACCTTGAAACATGTATTTATATTGATAAATCGAATTCGAAATTTTTCAGGATCAGAATATTTTCATTTACTATAAATTCCATCAGGCACACCAAAGTAAAAATTTAGCCTTATTAGAAATTTATAAATTGACAAGATTAGATGTTATTTCTGGGACATTAAAACAATGATACAATGGAAGGATGCTTGACATATTATAAAAAAACAATTGAGCTAAAAATAAATCTTTAAAACAAAATTAAGCTATTTTTCGAGAATTTTCGCAAAATACATTTATGATTTTTCGAAATCGGAATTCAGCTTGAATTAGTTGTACTGTTAAACACACCGTAAGCACGTAAAGTTTCTCTGTATCTAACGTTAAGAGGTCATTACATATAATTACATTAAATTGTCAAGCATTCAAGAAAAAACAATATCTAATATAGAAAGTTGTAGAAATTAACGGAGAGTTTCGTAAAAATTATAAATAATAATTTTTGAAAACTAATATCATTTGACGTTAGTCACATGTTTTCAAGGAAATTCAATGAAATTGTAATATTAACTTATAAATATTTTTAAGTTTGAAAAATGAATTTAAAATCCACCTAATTAAGGCAATGCCATTGTTTAAAAAATGATTACATTGTATTTGTGTGAAAGAAGAATTATATGCTTATAACCTTAAATATATTTACTATAGTGTAATAATTCTAGATCTGATATTATATTTAAATAATTAGTTATAAACGTCCGTTTATTTCGAAAAATTGTCATGTAACTATTTACAAAATTAAATTAGTGAATAATTTGATGAATTTTCCCTTTGTGAAATCCCAACATTATCATGTCTTCCTCTAAAGTACATTTATTTACCTTCATTTTAAATAAAATAATTTTTGGTACTTTACCGGAAGAAATTTTGAAAATGAGGCAGTTAAGCTCTGTTTTAGAACATCAATGAGAAAAATACCCACATTATAATAAAAACTGCTTAATACTATACAGATATATAGAATCGTTGGAGACGTTTTCGATAAAATTTGAAAAATGTATAAAACCGATAATATAAAATGGCACTTCCAGTCAGATGATTTTCCGGAAAAAGTAGCTGTAACATCCTAGACATTAAAAATCAGATTAGAAATTTTTCACGATCGCTGAACTTTCCCTTACTTTATATACACTACATGTAAGTGAAAGTAAATAAAAAAATTTGGCTAGTCATTCCCTCTCCATTTCTGGTTATTTTTTTCTACACACACAAAAAAAGAAGTTATCTGAGCCTTATGAGTGTAAGCAAACTTTTAAATTCTTTGATTTCTTTCTTGCAATATTTATCAAATTTGCTCGATTTCGATAATATATCGTAATCATATTATCATAATTTAATTATTGAAACTACCAATTGGTCAGTGGCGACAGACTCTATTATGAGTTCATCACTAGCCATTGAACATGCCAGGCCCAAAACCACTCTCGCAAAAGAGAGAAGGGCAAAGAAGTAGAGTTCATTTGGGTCCCTTCGCATTGCGGGATCATCGGTAATGAACAAGCCGATCAAGCAGCGAACATGGCAAAACATACGTGGAATCAATTAATGAAATCCCCCTAGAGGATTACGTTAACAAAATTAAGGAGAATATGTGGAACATGTGGCAAAACAAGTGGGAACAAAAAGAATCGAAATTAAAGGAAATTAAAACCCACTTAAAATGGGAAACCTCTCATCGATCCTCTCGAAAGGAGGAGACAGCCCTTTGCAGATTACGAATTCGACATTGTGAGTTCTCGCACTCCTACCTACTAAGAGGACTTGATCCTCCGACCTGCGAGAGCTGCAATGTCCAAAGGACATTAAAGCATATTATTCAAGACTGCCCTACATTTGAACCTACAAGGAAAAAGTGAGACATGTAACAGAGTCTAAAAGAAAATCTATAAGACAGTGAAACTGCAGTCAAAAAAACTTTAAGGTTTTTAAAAGTGATAAAACTTACTTTTAAGGTGAGTGTAATTTAAAGGTGTTGCCAATGACCCTACAGGGTAGAGGCAAAAAAATATCAAATAAATAAATAAATTTAATTATTATTTATTAATAAAATAAAATATGATTTAACATTGTTTCTTAATGATTAAAAATAATGATAAACTCTTTTACCTCCATTATTTGTTTTTCCATTTTGTCAGCCTCCGCAATTGCATACATCTGCCCTTTGTAGTATCTGTTTTCAATTGCTTTTTCCAGATCGCTCTGTGACTTCTTTTCGTGCAATTGTTTTTCTAATTCCTTCACTTCAATCTGTAAAATTATTGAAATATATTATTGAAAGAGCGTGTACGTCGTTAAAAGATACTGGCTCACACTCGATCAGAATTGACTCTGAAGGATAGATGTATTGGATGAATTGGTAAAGCGACGATGATAGTTCTTTAAGTTTCCTCTTTTATTTGTTGCGAAGAAACGAGCTCACAACAGTGAATACTTAAGAAACAAACATCAATTTGAAAAATATCTCAGGGGACAAACTCATAAAAATCTAATGTAAAATTTAATTTAAACAATTTCGATGATGCACCCTTTTTAGATTAATTTCTTTTAATATAACAAGGTTACACTTTTAGGGTTAGTAAGTAACTAACTGTATGCAAAATATATTCCTGAATTATTTCTGCCACCACTGCATCTGCGAACTTTATGTGATATTTCTTCCAGGAGTTTAAAGTTTTATAGAAAAATTTTTAAAAGTTCCATTTCAACAGATTCTGTGAATTGAATTAAACATAATTCTAATGGGTCGTTTGTTTGAGTAGCTAAGAATAAAAGTCAATTTTTAGATCGACTTATAAGCGAAGTCGACAAAACTTTTTTATTAAAGTTTTTTTAAAATAAAAATTACAAATGAAAGGTTCTGCTTTCAAAAGAACTAAAAATTATCGACAGTAAAAATTCTTGTAATAGCGAAACTTTTTAAAAATAAAACTTTTTTTTTTCATTTCAAGCTCTGATTTCTTCGAATCGTTTGAAGACTCCTTAAGACTCCATTCCTTTAAATATTTCGCTGCACACTGAGTTTTACCTATACATATAACTTAAACCGATTATTAATTATCGTAGTTCTACTAAGCCATGTAATTATTTACTTCATAAACAGTGGATGGACTCTGGATTCAGGAGACACTTCTGGGCACACCCAGCCTCTATATATAGTGGATCTTATTAAACTCCTAATTATTTGTTTGATAAAGATGATAAAAACTGGCTATTAAGCTAAATAACCTTGCACATTCGTTGCTGTACTGAACTCCCGAGAAGACCCCTAATGGTTTTTTTGTAGTGGTAAAGTTTTTATTTTATTTTATATTTTGGATTGTAAAATATCATTATAGCTAAGAATAATAACTAAATTTATGTATATAAAAACTTTTTATAAATTCTTTTCTACTGACCAACACAAATTAAAAAATATTACCCCTATCATTCTTTTCTTAGGATTAAAAATTCGTTTCTTCCTCTCTTCTTCTAACATCCTCATTCTTTGCAACTTTTCTTTCTCCTTCTTTTCCTTTTCTAAAATGATTCTAGACTCAAACATGACTGAAACAGAAATGCACAACACCTTCAATGGTATACTAATGCACGATTGACTGAGGCAATGGTTTCTTTGTTACTGTAGGAACTCATAAACAGTCAACTTTGCTGTGGTAACAATCGATATTGCGGTATGTTTGGTTGTTAACATGGACAACAGCTTGACTATAACTCACACAAACGTTACATGACTTGTCCTTTGAACATATTCTTGATTGTAGAATTAAAATCGATATTATTACACTTCGATAATCAGCAATAATGGTATCGACTTCATCAAGCAGTATTCGACCAACTGTTGCCGCTAGAGTGCCTATTGTCATCCAATTGCTTCCAAACTTATCGATTCTTTTTCGACACATTCTGACCTCCGCAATCTGTATCTTTATCCTTTAAGTCAAAAACAAGAATTTTCGGCCATTGGACTCTGCCAATCACATGATACTTCAGCAATAATCGAAATCATTCCTTTTTTTTCTTGCTGTTGGGTTTCGGTCCCCAATGCCTGTACTTCATATTCCTTTGTCTATAATCAATTCCATATTAGCCGCGTTTATACATTACATATACCATGGCGTGTAGAACCGTTTAAAATTGTGAACTATCGTATTATAAATATAATTGATATTTTCAGAGCTTCACAAGTTTGCTGCTCTCCGTTATGGAGAAATTTATAAATCAAAGTACTTACATCGAACCCGTCCTCGATAGAAAACGCTCAATAGACAAAAAAACCTTAAAACAAAAATAAATTGATGGGGTTCATAAAAATGGTCCGATACAGAGAGGTGTCCGCAAAGAGAAGTTACACTTTATATTATAGTACTTTTCCTCACACACCAAAAAAAAAAAAAAAATGAAGAAGGAAGGACGCTTATGGATAACTCGATTATTTTGGTTTGGAAAATATGACATTTTCCCATCTTTCCACTAACTGCATAATGTCATGTTCATAGAATGTCTGGAGTTTATTATTAAAAAACTGATCCAAGCGGTTTTTGATGTCTCTTCCTTTTGGAATTTCTTTCCATTCATGGATTTATGCAGAGACCGGAGTAAGTGGTAGTCACTTCAAGCTAGGTCTGGTGAATATGGAGGGTGGGGCAAAAGGTCCCATCCAAGGCTCAATAATTTATTGTGAGTGGCCAACGAAGTGTGAGGCCTAGCGTTGTCTTGGTGGAACACAGCACTCTTCCGATTTGCCAGTTCTGGACGTTTATTTTTAATTGATTGATGTAATTTTGTTAATTGTGAGCAGAATAGAGTTGAATCAGTTATTTGTCCTGATGGCTATAGCTCATACAAAATAACATCCTTGAAATCCCACCATATGAAAAGCATTATCTTCTTTGGATGCAATCCGGGTTTTGACATTATTCTAGGAGCCTCAGTGCTGATTTCATTATCGTAAAATATCCATTTTTCATCTCATGTTACCAACCTCTTCAAAAATGGGTCGTTTTGTTGCCGTTTCCGTAGTGAATCACAAACCGAAATGCGTGTTGCCAAGTTGACTTCGGTTAAAGAGTGAGGGACCCAATCATTAACCCTGGAAATATAGCAAAGCTTTTGTGTGGTTTTCTACGCTTGTGTGCGACACATTTAGAGCCATAGCTATCTCTTGCACTGATCGGGTGGAATTTTGATCAACAATAGCCTTTACATTGCTCGTTTCAATGTTTTGTGGGCGACCAGACCGTTGGGAATCATTGATGTCAAGATTTCCTGAATGAAATTTGGCAAACCAATTTTGACAGGTAAGTTCGTTTAAGGCATCATCCACATAAACACTGCAAACTTTCCTATGAGCTTCTGCAGCACGCTTACCTTTTTTAAAGTAATACAACAAAATATGCCGATAATGAATGATATTTTCTTCCATATTCATAATGCAATAGCAAACACAATTCTAAGCTAGTTTCAACAAGAGTTAACAGATATAATTGTTGACATATTACAAACACGATAAACAATCCACCTTAGGGATTTATTCATCAGATAAGAATTGTATCATAGTGACATAAAAATAAACAGAAAAATTGAAAGAACCTATTTGCCTACCCAATATTTGTAAACCTTTCCTTATAAAAAAAGTCTTCAGTTGTTATCGAGGGTATTAGAAATATTCAACTTTGGTCAAATGGGTTTCATTTGTTATTCTCTTGGATGGTGTTTTATATAAGATAAGCGGATGTTTTTTGTTTTTATTGGCCGTTTGGATACTTTTATAGATCAAAGTGACTACTTTCTTTTCATGTATTGTTTCAAAAGATATTTTAGTGCTGTTAAGTTTATTGCCATGGATACACAAAGTAAAAGAGTTGTCTAATTAGTCCAGTCAATTAATGATTATAGAGGGAAATGGAGGAAACACAATTTTGGAATTTAGTACTTTGTTTAAAGAACTTCTAACAATAATCAATGTTCCATTCTACGTAACTTTCAAAACCCACCATAACCTTAATCTACCTATTGTTCCAGAATTAATACCTGACAAATTCTCCAAATTTCATCAGAACCTTATTCATCATCCAAATTCACTAACAAACTTCTTGTCTAGCTTCATCCCTCTCTACGATATGCTCCGAAAATTTAAACGGTAGTTGCCCCGCGAATTTTTTTAAATATGTGTAAATGATTTTCCATAAATGGTCAGATTCTCCACTGCCATGAGTGCATGTTGCTATAGCGCTCTCACTCAATCTCCATTACCATTTAGTACCAATGAAGCGATTAACAGAGTAGAGCAGAGAATTCATGGAATCCTTCTATTCCCTCCACAGGTGAAGAGACAAGCCTGGTTCTAAGTTTCTTGGCTGATTGTGAATATTGTACAAAGACATAACGGTGTTTTTAAAATATTTATTTTATTTTTATTCAACTTCAATATATTATTAAATTGTCAATGTTAATTGTTGATTTCCAATGTATACATTGTCGGAAGTGAGTCACCCGTGAACTTTATTGTTAAAGATGTGGATTGTTTAATAAAAGTTACTTTTAGAACATCAAGGCAAGAACATTTATTCTTGCATTTGTTTGCAATGTAGCTTGGTTAGTTACAAAAGAGTTTTTCTCTTCCACGATTCACAGCAGTTCTTTTAATGAATATTTTTAAAATTTCGTTTAAATTAAAAATTTGGTCATATAAAGTCGTACTTGAGAATTTATCTAATTTTATGTTTTACAGTCTACAATAGGGAGCGGGGTAGCTCAGTAGTAGGGCACTAAATTCCGGTGCTGAAGGCTCCAGGTTCGAATCCCGGCTCATGGCAGAAAAATTATTTATTCTGTTCCATTGACCATGGGGCCATCCTGGGGTAGGGAGACCTTCCTGGTGGCACTCCCAGCCTCTATAAAGTGGGTACCCTTAATTAAATAATAGATTAACGGGGAAAATCTGGCGGTTGGCGTGATCCAGACCCGATACTCTCCCTGCACAACCGTAGGCCTTGAAGCAGTACTTTCTCGAAATATTACTGAACCCAATACCGTTCATATGTTGCAGTATGGTACAGGTTTTTACAGTCTACAATAATACCTCATGTGGACATGTTATGTACGTTATGTAAAGTGATTCTCTCCCTCTACATTCTAAAATAAGAAGAAAAAGAATCGTCCCCATTAGTAAATATCCAGTAACATAGTATGTATTTTTTGTTTTTTTTGTTTTATGCACTTTAAATAAATAAATAATTTTTTATCAATGGAAAATGAAAAAAAAATCTATAATATTTTTATTTTTAACGAAATGGACATTAACAATATTACAACCACTACAGAAACAATTTGGATTCCATTTGGTCAAATTATTTTTTTTTATTATTTATTTAATGAAATTTACAACTCTATAAAAAATACAACCAAAAATATGCACACATTAGAAATAATGACATGAACAGACTTGAAGACATACTACCCAGTGGTCTTGGTTTTGGTCTTCTGGTCAAGACCACAAACATTGTTGTAAGACCAAGACCAAGACCAAACCCTGTGAATCTTGCAGGTCTTGCAGTTAAGTCAAACTGAGAATATTTTCAGATATAGTACGGTGCTTAAACATTTTAACCATCTAATCTAAACAGCATTGTTTTTTCTTGTGGAATTGTATATTTGAGTATTGCTTTCCAAATAATAATAAAAAATTAATCTTTTTTTCTCCCGCCCCTGCTTGGCCATTTAGGTTATACGGGTTTTCGCGGACCAGGGGTTGAGGGCGGAGGATTAATGCCAGAGTTAAAAGGCCCCCCCGGGCAGCGGAACGCGAACTCGTAATTATTTTATTGTCTCCAACTTCGGTTATCAGGTTGCCGGGCAACGCTATGCGTACTCGTTAGTCGCTCGACACCCCTTTGCCAGGACCGGAGCAAGAAAGATAAGAAAACATAACCAAAACCGAATATAAATAAAAATCATTATTAAAAATTAAGACTAAATGGTTTCTAATACTAGCCCATTTTAGTTCCTATAATGAAACTTAACAAGAAGCGGACACTCACGGGGAATCAAAAATTGCCCGCTATAGAGAGATGTCCGTTTTAGAAAAATTAGAATAAAACATGTTAAAAAAATAAACATTTAGAAAACTATTAAAAACATTTTTCTTTTTAAATTTACAAATTAAAAATATTTTTATGAGAAATTTAATAATATAAAATTTCACATAAGAAAGGTAAACTCGTTTGTATATATATGTATAAAAAAAGAATAGTAATTTGTAATTTATGCTTGGTCTAGCATTATCATAATATTATTGCCCCTCATACTTATATAATTAATATGTATCTATATAAGATGTTATATCAATGTTTAAAAGATAGTAGATATAATATTGGTTTGTTTCTCGAGAATATTAAAGGCACAATACTTTAGGCAATTACAATCAACAAGTAACATCAGTAATATTTAGAGGAGACAAGGTTCCCCCTGCCCTCCCCTGCGTATGCCCATGTCAGGAATTCATTACTATTTTGTTTTAAAATATTTTTTCCATTTAAATGAGAA